TGGCCCCTTAATGGCGTTTGCGCTGCCGCGTCAGGCCACAGCGGCCGCCGGCACCACCGTCCACTTTGCTGCCATCGCCGCCGTCTCGCCGACGCCCAAACCCGTGGCCGCCCTGTCCGCGTCCAACCGGGGCCCGCCGCACATGGTCGTCAGGCCCAAACCCACCAGGCCCGCGTTCGGCCGGTCGCCACCGACGCTGCACCAAGACGCCGCGGCCGCCGCAGCCGCCGCGGCCGCACTGCGCGATCCCATGTGGCGACCGTGGTGATTGATCGACGCGCCGGCGGCCACACCGCCCGCCTATTATATCGGTGCCGCCGACAGTGGACGACCAATGCGCAGCTGAAGCGAGTGCGAATCGTCGTCGTTAGCCGTGGCTGAACCCATTCAGAATTATGACATTTTACGCGTCACTCGATGGGGGAGGGGCGGGGGCGAATAGACCGCGTAAGAGTGTTGTCGAATCATTTTTTTTTGTTTTTATTTTTATTATTATTATTATTATTTTTTTTTTTTTTGAGGTAGTGAGAAGTAGGTGGCTTGGGATCTCACAAGATACACCCCTCATATCCCGCCTACACGTGTTACAGCCGCAACGATTCGAGTTTTGCGGTTTTTCGTTTATTCTTCATATGATAATTATATAATATTGTTTTGTGTTTAATCACAAGAAATCACAATTTTATTGTCACAATGTAATAATAATTATACATATATTATAGGTTAGCCGCATTAACCGTTTTCGAATAACGTTTCACGAACAATTTTTATTTTTATTTTAAGACATTTTTATTTTTGTCCGGGGGAGAAGGGAGGAAGAATTTGTTAAAAGTACACGATCACTCGGTAATTTATTATGTTTTCAGCTTTTGTAAATATAGACATTATTTATCATATTATTATTATTATTATTATTATTATTATTATTATTATCACTACATTATTATAATTATTTTATGATTACCATTATACGTTATAGAAACGTACAGTAATATTATGCTTGATTTTATTTTGTTATTAATATTATTTTATTGTGTTCGTGAGTGTTTGTTTGTGTGTTGGTTTCGATCGAGTTATGTGTATAATATATCAATAGTTTATACTCGATAATAAAAATTATTATGCTTTAATGATGATCTCATCAACGACGTTACACATCGATCGGCGAGTATATAAAATGAAAACTTTGATATCGCAATAATATGTTAGATTATTGATAGAAACCCGATCGCTCGCGCATTGATTTAATAAGAATAGAGTTACTCGACTTATTTTTATTCTGTTAATCACATAGGAAACGCCCGAAGTAACGGATTTTGACTGTAAATATATTATATTATAATATAGTGTTTCGAATTTTATCGTCGTTTTATTTTCAACGTATGGTACACGTAATATTATAACACTATAATTATTATGTATAACATAAAATAGAATAATATCATATACTCGTATTTATATTTATATTTATTTTTTTACCGTGTCCTTACAATAGTCCTATAGCTTAAAAACGTATCCGCACCTAGTTGTCGTTTAGTAGGTTTATATTAATTATTAATTTAGTATTAATACTAAGAAATGAGACAGTTAGTGTGTATAATAATATAATAATAACAATATAAAAAGTACCTATTATAATAATATATCACTATTATGTGCAGTTAGATTGTGTTTGTGTTTATTTCACTGTAGCCGTAACATGTGAAACTAATAAGTTTATAATGTGTACAACAGCGAAATCATCGCATGTATTGTGTATTATATTATATTATATTATATTATTATAATTTATAATATTATAGAAGCATCAATTCTTCGGTATTTATGATATCGCAATAATATTGAGGTTAATCGATATGTATAGAATCGAATAAGTCTACAAAGTTTTCACTTTAATAATGTAGTTAGAATTTATTAAGAAGACAATTTTTTTTTTTTTTTGAATGATTGTATGTATCTTAATTGAAATTACTAAAGATCTAATGATAATATAGACCCTAAAAATGTTTTTACAAAAATATAAAATAGATGTCATATTGAATCTATAATTTATACTAGGATAATTTTTAAATATTATATACCTTTTTTTTTATTATTCATAAAAGCATATTTACAATCTATACTGAAAAGTACAATAAGTAAATTGGATAATATAGTAATATTGTAATAATAATGACGACTTGGTTGGCTTGAGGGGGGAAAACCGTCCATCAACAGTACCTCCTGTTTAACTTGGTGGGTTCATGTGAAGAGACCGCAAATATTATACTTACAAAATGTTGATATAGGTAATAGCTTTCAAATCAGCATGAGCTGCTTACCTATTATTCATAGTGTATTTCGTCTAATGACTCGATAGATTTTTTTATTTAGATAAATACATCGAAATTCTCAAAAAAGTTATTTGTTAAATAATTAAAAGTGGAAAGGGTGGTTTTTGTTTAAACAAGTTTGCATCGCCGCAGGGTATGTGACTCACTTAAGAAATATATCAATTACATATTCAAAAATATGGTCTCTAAATAAATTTAGCTGTTTAATAATTAAAAAAACATATTTTAAATAACAGCATTAGGAGACATTAAGATTTGGTAATAAATAATAATAATAATAAAATATATCTCAAATTTCAATTAAAATTGCCTATATTAAACCCCTTATATAGCGGGTATGTAACGTTTTCGATTGTTTTTGTTACCTTGCCGCCGCATTTACCAAATATTGTGCATCGTGTAGCTTTGGTGTACGGTTAGATTGAATGATTTTTAGCTCACCAAAAATACTATTTTTAATATTGAAATTACAGCTTTTTAAAATTAATAGTAAAATTTACCAATATAATATAAATTTAATTATATGGGTAAATTACCGTAGCGTACGCTGCTTATCGGCGGTACCTATTTCATAACAAGAATCCTTACGTTATTTTCGTATAACGTTGCTATTCCGGGAAACAACATATAAACAATATTTATAGACAAATCCGGTAATGTATAATATTATTATTACAATGATTATCGTATAATGAAGTTCACACCATAGCGTTGTAGATTTTATTAGTTGACCGAACACCGTTCAGTTAATACAGTTGTATTATAATTTATAATATTATAGAACTAAAAAAAATATATCTAATAATATGGAAACTACAATCAAAACAATGTTACGTCAGAATACGAAAAAAATAATAATCATTAGTCAATTCAAACAAATATTATAATATGTAATATGAATTGATGATATATGTATATGGCTTAAATCATTTTTTTAACTACAGTTTTGCCACTTGGAAAATTTGTAAACGGTCTTATACACCTAATAAGTTCACGTCGAAATGAAACTGAAGGACATATATTTTTTGAACGTGTACCTAGAACCTACATTGATTTCCATCCGAAACAGAGGTAAAAGAGTCATCAATTATACATTTGTATCTAGGTAAATTTAATTAAAAAACAATAATTTTTTTTTCGATATTTCGTTTTTGCAAAAAAGTTCGTCCGGTCGCTCATTTTAATTATTGATTCATAAATCTTTAGGCAAATAATTGTCGAGCAGGGCATAAATTATTTTAAGAGAATGACGTACGTATTTTTTTTTCTTGTATACAATACAAAAAATAAATACTTGTATTCATATAAAATAAATATCATATTATCATCATTCCCGCCCGTGCCATAAATTTTTAAAATTGTATAAGCGTTTAAAAGAAAAAAAATCTCATAACCTAACCTAGTACGTTGTACGATATTATTAATATGATGACACGTCTGTGTAAGTATAAGAACATGATAATAATATTAAAAACGAATTCTGAAAAGTAATTTCGTTTGTGAACGCCCTAAAAACCGTTGGCGTTCTGTTGGAAATTTAAACAAGGAGTGCGATATTCACGCGTCGTCCGCAAAATATTCGAACGTATCGCAATACTCCTTCCAAACACTAGCACGCACTTCAAGTCCAATTTTCAGACGTTTATAGGTGCTCGTTTCTTTGGGGTTCGTCACACGAATAACGTTCTGTCTCATCGTGCGGTGGCGGCTCACAACACAATATCGCTGCATCGAAGTCATAAGACATAGATCGCGGGGACGGATTACCGAGCAAAGGTGTGCTTCGTCGTCGTCGTCGTTGCGGTCCGAAAATCCGACGCACGTTCGGCTACGGTCCGCGTGATCCACGTACCGCTTCGGACAAACACGTCGATTTACACGCCTGATCGGACACAACAATAATAATCACGATAGTATAATCATATTAATAACAATATTTGTATTATTACTATTATACACGAGTGCCTACGAGTCGTAAATCGTGTCGGTTCGTTTACTCGCCAGCGTGTTTTATTTTATGATTATAAACCCGTTTAAACGCGTCTCGCACGGGCACATTGTGTAGATCTCGCGATATTATACTTTACTTTTGTTGGGCTAGCGGAACAATGAGAGTCATCTATGAGGATGACTATAGATCGATTAGTAAATAGGAAGTTGAGTTAGGAATTACTTTGGTCTAATAGTCTGAATGTAATCGTAGTTACACGTAACTTCCAACTCGACCGATTGTATTTTCACGTATTTTGGTTGAACTATAGTAAGTTATTTTCAATGATCTAAGATGTTAAATTAAAATTTGTTCTTTACGTAGGTACAAAAGTATTGTAAGACATCTACGAAAAAAAACGCCCTTATTATAGTTTATGCGGATATTATAAATGACAAATAAAGTAATAGAATAAAAAAAAAAGGTAAGCAAGTGCCAAGCGTGTACCACCGCTCTGCTGTACAGTTATTGTATAGGTGTCGAGTGATTCACCGTAGTCGCCGTGATGGATGTGTTCAACTTGAATTCAATGATATATCATTGTACTCGAAATACGATTCTGCACGAAGACGGTCTGTCAGCTTATATCGTTAAGTATATTTCATGATAAGTTTATTTGTATTTTTATTAAAATAAATAATTTCGTTCGTATCAGTAAAAAAATTTTGATTTTTATTAGAAAAGAAATGGAAAAAACTTATTTCTAACTATTTGAGATATAATTTTGAGTTGTCGAGGGAATAACTTTCGAATTTCACAATTAAGTACCCATATATGATTAAAAAGTGACGTGTTTTACATTCACAAAAAAAAAATTCCACGAGTTAATTTTTACTGTATTGACGTAAACTAGCAGTATATTATCAGTGGATGGTCAGTAACTATTTTTTAATTTTTAATGTTTTAAAGGGTTAGAGATTGTTATTTGAATTTTAAAATTAAGCTCCCATGTTCACAGGTAAGTCGTACTACATAATAAAGTCATACAAAATAAAATGTCTATAACCTTAATTTTTAACAAAAATATAATGAAAAACGTATTTTTGGATACTTTGTTATTTTTATTTAGTGAATGAAGAACGTTCGAGTAATTTAAAAAATAAAGATTTGCACTGTCATATAAATGAAGAACTTTATTATATTTGAAAAAAAAAACACTTTTAAACAGTTATATTTTTCTGTCGAAATTTTCTGACAAGTCCTATTGGTTGGCCGTTTTCGTCTATTGTTTTGGTAAATACAGATTGACTAATTTCGTAAAAATTTACGTACTTCAAACCTAAATAAAATATGAATTAGACTCTCCAGTCACTGATCATGACTTTGAATACATAGGTAACGATTTTTTTTTTAAGCATATTATATTTTGAAGTGAACATTTCTTGTTTTTTAGTACGTATATAAAGTGCTTACGTATTCTGTGACTTATAAGTTCTACAGGTCCTCAGCCTTAATCATAATAATATTGTACAAAATACATATAACAAAATGTGTGTACGGAGCGATGCGGTAAACCGCACTGACCACTGATAATATCGTTACGAGTGTTCTTTTTATTTATTATTATTACCATAGTCGTCATCACTTTTTTTTTCT